GGGCTCAGGGCTCTGCTCCTCAGCTGCTCTTCACTCTGCCCGGGAAATGAGCAACAGGAGAGAGCCTCAGCAACCACACCTGTGCCCAAAGCACTTGGGCTCCATCTCAGTTTCTGTTCTATTTTAAAGCAACTCCAGTCCCATAATCTTGACTTTTGAACCGCCTGAACTTGTCCCCTCTCATTTCTGGGCTGGATGCTTAGGGCCCTGCACTTCAAATATGCTGTTAAACTTTGATTTCTGTTTCAAATCTAGCTTTCCTCCTTGTATACTGCAAGTTTAGTGGTATTTCACCTGCACCATACAGTTTCCCAGATGATTCATGCAATAATAAATTCTGTGCATGAGCTGGAGCACTGGCACAGAGCAGAGGGATGATTTAGGAGTTCAGCCAGGTCATTTCTTCTGAGAAGAGGCAAATCAATGCTACTCCCGTGGCGTTGGAATGTTGGGGGACACAAGACAGGTGATGGACTTTGGACCTGGTAAACATAAGAGATTTGAGAACAGGGTGCCTTGGCAAAAGCAAACAGAACTTTGAAAATTAGACCTAGATTGCAAAAAGAATAAATCAGGCAGGATTACAGGAAAAAGAAAATCCCATTAAACTCTTCAAGCAAGAGATGTTGTTATATGCATAAGTGTCTGTATCTGATTTTAACCTAATAAATGTAGTACACATTACTAGTCTCCATGAAATAGTATATAAATGTTTCTATCCTACAATAAAATTGGATTCTGATCACCGAATCAGTGTCCTCATCTCTCTTCATCACCGACACCGTGGCATTGATCCTTAGAAAGTTGCAGGTTTCCTCTGAGTAATCCTCTACACTCCATTGGGAGACAGACAGCAGCCTACAGTGAATTCCAAGGAATTCCTAGAAAGGTGAGGTGAGATGATTCCTACCCAGGCTGACATGTGCCTCAGGGATCTGGGATGCTCCTGCTGGAAACTGCTGGCCCAGGGACAGAACTGTCACCTCTCTTCCTGCTGACACCGTGTTTGTGTCCCCAGCTATGCAATCTCACATCCCCTCACCAGCCCCAATCCTTTCAAGGGCAAACACTTCATGATCCAGGAGCTGATGGGGCTCCAGGAGAGTTGGAAAGGGACTTTGGACAAGGACATGGAGTGACAGGACAAGGGGCAATGGCTTCCCACGGACAGAGGGTGGAGTCAGATTGGATATTGGGAAGAAATCCTTCCCTGTGAGAGTGCTGAGGCCCTGGCACAGGTTGCTCAGAGGGATGGGGTCAGGTAAAAACAAACACAAGGGCTCCCATGTCTGAGGAGGAGGAGGATGAACCCTAATAAAGGGCTGGAAAGGGGATCACAGCACCCCAAAACCTGGTCCCTGATACCTTTCATTGCATCAACAAGAGGATTTGCAGTAATCAGGGTGGGCTCTAAGTGCTGCTGACTATTCTGCAAGCAACTGACTTCTGTCCTTCCTTTGGGCTGAGTGAGCCTGCATTGCAATGACAGAAATGGGAATTCTCAGCTCAGTTTGCTGTCTTGAGGCCAGGGAAAATTTTGGCAATGATCCCAGAGCCCTTCCTGGAATGGGAGTTGTTTCTGAGCGCTCAGTTGCTGTGAGCACTTCCGGCACTGCCAGCTGCATTCCAGTGCCACCAGCCCCACCAGCAGCTCTCTGCTGCTGGAGGGACACTGACCCCAGAGGGTAGATAAATGAGGAATGGTGGAAATCTGCTGAGAGAGGGGATGTATTTGGAGAATGTCCCATCTGAAAGAGTTTTTCTAATCCGGAGGAAACCAGGAACCATGCAAAAAAATCTGCATGCAGAGCAACTTCCTATACGGCGGAAAAAAATAAAAACAAATAACTCCGAGGAAGTAGCCAAAGATATAATTTCCTACTCCCTCCTGACTCCACCAAGCCTTGGGAAACAACACCGGCAAAGGGAACAGAGACGAGTCAGCAGGATGGGAATGGGGAGCTCCTGGTGAGCTGGGCACTTTCTGCTTCATGGCCCTGACCTGGCAGGAGCCACTTTAGGACATGGATCCCTAAGGAGCAAGAGGGACCAGGAAGCGCCACTGATCTGCACAGAGCCCTTTGCCTGCTGCTGCCCCACAGGGAACAGGTCAGTGCAATGTTTGCCTTCCTCCCTACCCCACCTTCCTCTCCTGCAGCAGCTGCTCTGTTCCTGCCATCCTCTCCTGGTGACCGCAGGGCCCTCCCACCTCCTCCCTCCTCTGCCCTGAGCTTCCCTTCAGCATCTCCTGCTGAACAGTCCAAGCACACTTCTTCCCTCTTCCACCCCACAATTTCCACTGCCCTCCACCCTTGCAAATCTCACTCCTCCCCACTGAACCCTTCCCACTGCAGGGAGTTCCTGAGGAGCCACATGGTCCATCCCTGGATTCTCCAAGCACTGACTGCCCATCCACTCTGACCACAGCCAGGGGCCACATCCCACTGCCTGCCCAGCGTCCATCCATGGAGGTGAGCACCGTGTCCCCATCTCCTGCCTCACCCACTGAAGGAGATGATCTGTGTGTGACAGATGTCACCAGCGTGGCCACCCACAGTGTGACACTGCTCATCTGCCTCTGTGGGCTGGCTGGTAATGGGGCTGTGCTCTGGATCCTTGGCTCCCACTTTTTGTCCAGGAACTGCACCATCCTTTACATTCTTGCCCTGACTTTTTTGGACTTCCTCCTCCTCCTCTTTATGTTGCCCTCCACTCTGCTCTTCCTGCTGGAGAATGTATCCTGCTCTGTCATCATGCCCTTGCAGTACGTGGGGTTGCTTTTCAGGGTGTCAGCAGTGTCACAGAGCGTGTGGCTGTGCACACTGACATTCATTAGCATCAAGAGGTGCAGGTCCACCCACTGCCCACTCTGGTACTGCTGCCACTATCCCCAGCACCTGTTGAAGGTGATGCATGCCCTGCTCGGGGCCTTCTTCACCGCTTTCATCATAGTCATTGCCATAATATTTTCTCCATGCATTATCCTGCTATCTGAGCACTGCTGGGTTTTTTACATCTCCATGCATGCCTTCAACCTCCTCCTCTGTGCTCCCTTCATCCTCATTTCCAGCAAAATTGTCTTCACTCATTTCAAGCCTGGCTCCCAGCAGCAGCAACCCAAGAGACTCGACATTGTTATCTGCCTCATTGTACTCTTCACTCTGCCCCTCAGCCTCTGCCATTTCCTGCAGGAACTCAGCTACACCGTTGTGCCCTCCCAGATTCTTTTCCTGCTCGCCTGCATCCACAGAAACATCAACCCCATCATCTACTTCTTGGTGGGGAGGTGCTGGAAGCCCTGCTCTGAGGAGTCCCTCCGGCTCTCCCTCAGGAGGATCTTTGAGGAACCAGAAGAAAACACGGCCCACAGAAATGATGCCTTCATGGACATTAGGATCTGAGCCTGTTTATCCCTTCCACTGCACTGCTGAAGGACCCTGGGACAGTGGCTGAGAGATTCCTTGAGTCTCCTGATCAATAAATACCCACAGGATCACCCTCCCTGTGCTGCTGCATCCCCAGCCCCTTTCCAGGCCGCTCTGGGCTCTGATCCGTGCTTGGGAGGCCTCAGCCTTGAGGAGCAGCCCC